CATAGTAAGGTGACGAATTTAATGGGAAGATACACTGAAAAGACAACAATCATCAGGAGATAGGGAAGAATAAGCCTGGTGAATCCAACCCATCATAGTAATGGGAGAAAGGTCTCGTGACCGGGAAGTATTCTTAGGAATAATTAACCTAATAACGATGACACGCCACAAAGCCAAGCATGGTACAACTCTCGTTAAATATCTTTCCACTAATAAAACCAGTGAATAATTTATTTTTTTTAAAATTGACAAGAACCTTTATAAAAGTATGTAGTTTCAGAAAAAAATATTTAATTCTGATTTTTTCTATCAAAAATTTATTTTATGTAGTTATTTGTGCTCAGTCTCTGAACAGTTAATCTGCAAGGTGATTTTCATGATCAGTATAAAGATATTGTTACGTCTCCGTTTGTTAATTAACTTTCCGTAACTTCGTTCCGACGAAACTTTAGCGACACAAGTCCTTACTTAATAAAACTGGTTTATTCTTTCCGAATACAACTTTACGATACACTTATTTTCAACATACGCGCTAAAACAAACACTATAACGAACGAACGTTAACTTCAACAATACCCTGTGACTGCAGTTCAATTACTCACTATCTACACACACATTACTCTCCCGTCACGTTGTCACCCTCTTTTATATACCAGACTACCCTATATCTAGTAAATACTAGAGCATTCGCCAAGGTACAGGATAGTTATAGAAAATAGGTGGCGCCACACCAGTCACGTGACCTCGATGACGCAACAATACTATTTTTATCTTACATTTCCCTTTTATGATCTCTAGAACCCCCCTAAACGAATATCAAAAGTTTTAAAGTTAAATGTTTATATCTTATTTGCCATTCTCTCTATAACATCACTAACTCTAGTTATTATCATCAATATAAAGTGTAATTAAATGTTAAAATTTAAGAAATGGAAATATGTACATACCTTTTATCTTTTCATTGAATAATTTTAAAACATTTTCTTTGGGTCATATACCTAGTTTCAAGTCTTTATATTTTTACTTATTTTTAATGTTTTATTTTCTTTATCTTTTTTTTATTGACACACATCAACATGTGCATGTTTGTTTGTTTTTTTAATGATGCACAAAGCTACACAAGGGCTATCTGTGTTCTGCCCACCACGGGTATCGAACCCGGTTTCTAGCATTGAAAGTCCGTAGACATACCGCTGTGCCACTGGGGGGGGGGGGGCACATGTGCATGTGGGCCATATAACGTTAGCATTGGCAGAAACGGTTTAGCCCCCAACAAAATGATGGTTGCACTTGCTAACTTTATGAAAGTTGGTTGAGCGAAGCAAAGCATAAAATAAATGTAAAAAATCATCAATCCTTTCGAATATGAATTTTAAAACAAATAATACATAATTAACTAAAATATAAAAGTAAATCCTAAATGCAATTTAACTGTCTATGAAATTAATATGTATAAGGTGAGAAAAAACAGCCAAATATTAGTGACAACGATGTCCAACAATATACCTTGGAAATGTCTGCCTACTAGTCAACATTAACATCGTGGTAGGTAGAAGATAATTTAAAGAAATGTTCTATAAAATCTGCTCTTTCTATTGGTTACTAGCATGCCATTCAATTTAAAACTGTTGCTTAGCAGCATTGCTTCTACTTGAACAAGGGTGGGGGAAAGAAGAAGAGGAGGCAACATTAGATATTGGTGCAGAAGTGGATACCACAGCTTAGCTGACCAAAATGGAGCCACTAATAGAACCCGAAACGTCGTCGTTATAGGGTTAATCGGGAGTGGGAACCACAGAAGAAAGCAGTGCGTGCCATGTAACAGTGAATAGTCTTGACTGGTCAGAAAAGGTAATCAGGATTGGAATGGTCTTATATAAGGTAAGATGGGATGAAGGATAACCCTGACAGTACAAGTACTATTTACTTTAGTACACTGCCATGGAGGAGGAAAGATGTGTGAAATGGGAAATCAAGGATGCCACATGCTGCAAAGGTTCGGCCTTCCAGGCCAGGGACTGGACAAAAGCTCAGTTGGACCCGACTAAGCAGGGAATTGAACAACACCCCAAGATGAACTAGATATTATATGGGGGTGATGAAAACGTTTCCACCTTCACCAACCAACCCGAGACACTTTTTTGAGGAGTAAGTGAGTATGAAGGGCCTGTGAGGAAGCTAGAAGTTGCCAGTCGTCCATATAATGGTGGAAACGAAGGTCTTGGGAATGAAGAAGATAGGCAAATGCCTGGACCACCCAACAACAACAAAAAAAAAACGCATGGAGCCAAGGCCAGTCCGAATAGATGAGCATGATACTGAAAAGCACACCTTCAATGGACAAATCGAAAATAAAGTTGGGATGCTGGGGAGATGCAAATGTGTAGGTATGCATCCAACACATCGACCTTCATCATCCATAGATCAGGAGTAAAAACCCAATGAAGGACGAGGTAGGACTCCATGGTGAAACGTGAGGACCAAAAAGCAGTTCAGAGTCAACAGATCAATGATAGGGCAACAGTGACCTGTTCTTTTGGGGACATCAAACAGATGGGAATAAATACCCGGATGAGAGGGATCTCCCCATTTAATGGCATCCTTGCGAAGCAATTCCCAAATCACCTTTGAAAGATGCTGGCTGGCTGGCATGTGGATCCCAAGGAAGAGAGAAAGAAACAAGATGCAGAGAAAGAGGAGGAGGGGAATCAAAAAGGAGGACCAGACCCTCTGAAACTACCATCAGAACCTAAGGGTCTATGGCAAAGTCCCTCCAAGTGTGGGCAAATCTGAGGAGTCTGGCCCCCACAGGTCTCAAACCCACAATGTAGTCACCAAGACTCCCAGTAGCCCAGAAGATGGTGCTCCAAGGACTGACAACAAACCTCAGGGATACAAGAGGCCAGAACTGATAAATGAGAGGAAGAAGGAGGGCGAGACACAGAAAGAGGAAAGGAAGATATGCAATCAGACTGACTCAACCCTGGACTCCAAAGAGTCGGAAATGCCCCTAAAAACCTCCTGGCTTAGAAAAGGAGCCATGTGCAAATCATGCAAAGAGGAGGCAGGCAAACGAACCCGAGACAAAAGAGCATCCCAACTACAGATCAACCATACTTACAAAGCCAGTGTGGAAGAGGTGAGGTATCGTAATGTGGATAACAGGCGATTTTGAGTCTCAACAGAAAACTCCTTCGAGAGCAACGAATAGCCTCAGATAACAGTTGAAGTGAGGACAAGAAGAAGGGCAGACAGGATGAGACAAATATGGAAAACTGAGGCTGGGAAAAAACCCTGAAGTATTGGGGGAAGATTCCCACAAAGAGAAAGCAACTCCAAATGCTTCAATTCTAAAATGGAAAAATCAGAATGATGATATGTCATGTGGGGGTCGAGGCATACTGACTCATGAATGCAACTGGTCCCCAAATCTACTTGCAGGAAATCCAATGGCCAGAGAGAGAGGAAACACTAAATACTGACCCAAGGGCTCATCACTGAGAAGAGCAGGAGTGGAATCATAGGAAATGGGAGATAAGGATAAAACATAACAAACCTGGTTGATAAATTCAGGAGGGGAAAACAGGCTGTCTAAATCTTCATCATCATGTTCAGGCAAACCCTTGCCTGATATGTGAGGACAATCATCAGGTGATTCAGAATATTGCATAAAAGTAGTTAATTCCCTACAAAACACAGCCGTTACTTCCTGAGCAGATAAAATTTGCTCAGATGCCATTGAAATTGCTGGCAAATCAGCTGTGGCAGTGGCAGATGCATAGCTAGTTGAGTTAACCAGGAAAAAAAAATTGTTTTCCAACTCTGTTCTCAAACCATTAAAATTTGAAAAAAATTAAGCATGGCCTAAAAATAAACAGGAAACTTGTTCAGTTAAGAAAATTTTTAGTCAGATAACATGAGCGAAAACATGTTAACAGTTAGACTGCCACTTGAGAAGTGATTTTAGGCTGCACTGAGGTCACTAGTGATGATAGGAGATGTGTTGCACTCTTACTGTGGAGGGTTGTTGCATGATCATTTACACGATAGCATGCAGGCGTCTCACAGGAATACACGTCAGGGTAGGTGGGAGTACCAAGGCTAGTCCCAAGCAAAAATGTGCACATATAGAGGGTAGTATAAGTCGATAAAAGCTAATTATAAAATATATGCTATACAAGAGCAGGATATATGTAGTATTTTACATACTACACCATGTAATTAGCATGATATAAGGCTAGTAGTGCACTGGGCAGATTTCCTATATATTAAAGTCTAAAAGTGCTCTGAAAGTGTTTAGATCTGAAAAAGTGTGAAAATGTTTTTGGTAAACTCTACAACATTTGTCTACATAATTGCTTCCCAAGTAGAAGTTATGACTAGGTTTAATTTTGTAATGTTGACATGTGACATTGTTCCTGCAAGCCACTGCAGTTTAATTATTTTGTATATCTTCAATACAATATTTAAGTTGGTGTTTCTTTCTAAGGTTTTCAATCCAAATTATACATTTGAAAGCCACGTACATAATAATAATACCATGGCAGGAGTAGAGTTAACAAGTAAGTATGTGTAGAACATATTTTTCATTTAATAATTGTCAATAAGCTCTGAAACAGTAAATTTTACCTAAAGCATTGCACAATATAGTTGTGTATATATATACATAATTCTTTCAGAGAATGAGCTGAAAACACAACCACACACTTCAACAACTTGTTACCAGTATTAAAATACTGAATTTTCTTTATCAAACAGCATATACAGTAATAAAATTTTATGCTATTACTGAAAATTAGACAAAGATGAATTCTAGTTTATTTCATTCACTCATCCAGCTCTGACATACCTTAATTAATCTTCATGATTGGCTAATAATCAATCTTGATTATAACCTTTTGTAGTTAAGTAAAAAGCATCCAATACAATATTAATACTAAATTACTTTATCTATTATTCAAACAAACCAATGTATTTGCAGGTTATTTTTGACAACAAAGTATTCATAAGTTATATAAGTCCCTAATGAATGGTTACGTTATTACATTAGCATCTTCGAAGTTCGCAGATGACATTATTTTGATTAAGGTGTACATAAGTGATTGAAGTGTTCAAACCCACCGTTTTTAGATTGAATTACAAAGTTAAAAGTACATTTGTTAAAAATGTATATCATAACATTATTTTAGTTTTTACTGCATAATTTTGCAAGAAAAACCCTACTTTTAACTGTTGTTCCTGTTTTTAAATGCAAAGTTACATAATGGACGATCTAAGATTTATCCAAGCCTGTGAAACAAACTCTGGATTTTAGAATTATATGTTTGCAAACTACATTTTTATAAATACACTAACCATTTTTTTTATCAATGTAATATTATTAACAAAATATTAATAAATACATAATTCTACAGTTAATAGATTAAAATTATTCACATTACATCATAATTGTTACTTCAAGAAGTTCTTTATTATATTACCATTTTAATGCTTGAGAGTAAAAACCTTTGTAAATGCTGTTTGATATATACCGGATGATTTTAGTTAAAATGCCTACCAAAATAGTGTTAACATCTTGTAAGGAAGTTCAATCAGGATACTATTTTAAACATATGTAGATATGATAACAAAGCAGTTACAGTATGTTACACATTTACAAGCAGCTATTACATCATCTTGAAATTAAAGCTAAATAATTGAATTAAAGATTACATGTCATATATATATGTATGTATATTTTTCTGTCATTAAAAACCTTTCCTGCACACATATACATTAAGTTAGTTATTAAGTTCTTTTCTTACTATACTACACATACCAGCTAAAGTTCTTTATCTTAATCATGCATAGCAAGAGAAGAAATTTTGAATAAGTTACTGCAACATTCTATAATTTTTCCACAATTAATGTATTAAAAAAAATTTATTTAAAGAATTTGTGGCACCATTTCAATTAGGTTGACTTCCCCTATAATATGACAACCTCACTATTTTTTAATTTATAGGCATAAATAAATTTAATATTATCAAAAGGGTATCTTATTTTCCAGTTGGGTGTGAATATAATATATTTCAAATAATAAAACTTTCATTGAAATGTAGTGTCTTCACTAAAAGCACCCCCTAGTCTAAACTCATTTGGACTTAAAACACAATACATTCGCTGAGGTGAATGGTTGGAATATGAAGCAGGGCGTGGGGTCTTTGTCCGTAAGATAAACTCTCGTCCTACTGGAGGAGGGAACTCTGGAATCATTGGATAGTGGTGATGTTTACCACCAGAGAACTCTAGTTTTTCATCTCCTTCCAGGTGTGTACTCTGAAAGAAAGGAATAGAATGATGTGTATTTTACTAAATAAAAGCATTATTAGAAAGATGTCAATAAAGAGCTTCAACAATAAAATGTAAAAACAGAAGCAACTGGCATCAAGAAAAAGTGTTTCATAATTTTTGTGCAAAGATACAAAAAAGGATACCTGTACATAGCAATCCTTAATTTTAAACTTACAGACTAAAAGGAAGACAGCTTGTCAACAAAATCCACTGCTAACTCTTGCTCTAATATTGACTAAGTGAACAATGGGACTTGACTATCATCCTTACTATGTTTCTTACATGTACTCCCCACGATGTTTCACCATAGCATGAAATGGGACAAGAAAACACCATATATCAACCTTGTTAATATTACACATAAACAGTCATAAACACTTGCCAAAGTGCCAAGATGTACGAACTTTGAATAAGGGTTATGATAAAAGATAGAAGGACCATTGAAGCTGCATACTTCTAACCACAGAGGAGGTTGCCAGGTCACTGGTGATTAGTGCAGCGAGAAGAGCAGAAGCGGCCTGTGGACACATTCCACAGCAACCAACAAAGTGTTAACATCTTGTAATGAAATTCATTTGGGAGACAATTGTAAACATTGTAGATATGATAACAAAGCAGTTACAGTATGTTACACATTTACAAACAGGTACAGAAGGACACATTCCATGGCAACCAACGAAGTGTTAACATCTTGTAATGAAATTCAATTGGTAGACAATTGTAAACATTGTAGATATGATAACAAAGCAGTTACAGTATGTTACACATTTACAAACAGGTACAGAAAGTACACAATGTGCTGTCTATATTTGTTTCTATCATTCTCTCTGAAGAAGGCATTGTGTCAAAATGTAAGAGAAGTGAATAAAATTTCTGCTTCATTCTGTGTTTCCTTTCCAACATACTTGACACATCTCAGTTTGTGGTACCTGTAGTTCTCAAGATTAACCTTACCCTGCCTGTATCTAAGGCAATCTCTTATCACAAGATTTTTCTTTCAGAAAAAATATTGTAATTTTCTGAAACAATAACGTTGATATCCTTAGTCTTAAACATTTCCTTTTCTTGGAAGGCATTTGAAATGCTGACAATATTAAGTACTCACATAAGTTGAAATAATCATCCATGACATTTTAATGTCGCTTGCTGGCCAGTCAGTCTATACAGAGACGCCGCCAAATCACACACTATCTACACATACAAGTTCTGTGTATATTCACTTTTGATTCTATCACTGAATGTCAAGGTAGAAGTTTATTAAATATATCACTTCACTTAATGGACTAGAGAGGAAATTTGAATTTGTATGGTCTAAGACAAGTCCAGTCTGATCAGTGACGTTGTTCAAACATAGGCCTAATACTTACAATCGACTCATTCTCAGAATTACATGAGATTAAATTTTAGTAGATGGCCCCTTCCAGTCCAAAATCCTTGAGCTATCAGTGTCATTGTGATAAATAATCAACATGCAGTACAAGTGGCCCAAAATATTTTGTGTTGCTTGAACAAAGAAAACACATTGATGTAACTGCAATATATCTAGAAGAGTGCTTATAACAGAGTAAGCCTAGTTTTATTACAATATATATCATGTACATGCCTTTCTATTTTGTTAAATGTAATTGTAATATACGTGTGAAATACCAGTTAAGTGTATTAGATGTACAAATGTTTTGCACAATTCCGATTGTGTATTTGTATGTTCACATGAAAACAAAGTACTGCAGAAATGATTCTCACATGAAAGAGCAGAATTTGGCTAGCATATAATTATGAATTGTACATTTAGTGGTGAAAATTGTTGATTATGCTGTAGATAAATATATTCCTACAGTGTTCTTGAAACTAATCCACTGTAATGTACTGTACTCAGTTGGAAAAGTCAGGCCTATGTCTTTGGTATTTCTTTACTTAATCATGCTAGTAAGATTTGTGAAATTACTCTGTAGCATTCATTACCCACATAGCCGTTTTTTGAAGAAAATAAAAAAATTGGTGTTGAGGAAAAATTGGATTTATATTTTAATCTTTTGATTTGCTATTATAAATGCTGGCAGACTAAAATTATTGCACAATTGTAAATTTATACAATTTGTAAAAGGACCATTATGAACTGTAATGAAGTGTCCATGATGAGAAAATGTATTGGTCATGAAAATTTAGGTATGTACATGGTAGAGTAAGACGCACAGGTACTTACAGCAAATACTGGACATATATTATGATACGAAGATTAGACAAAAGAGTACGCTATCTACTGAACTAAGTTAATCCATTAGTAAAGAACGTTTTAACAATTCAGACTACTCATCTACTCTTCTCACGAACAAAATACGTCCTCGTGCCTTATCTCAGAGTCGTGGAACAGCCCCAAGAGGGGTTCCAGTTTTGCTGTGGTAGTCTCTCTTTTTTGTTTTACATTTCTCCATGTTGGAGTAGGACTAGAGACTTCCCACTTTCCAAGATAGTGCTCTAAAAACTAGAGTAAGTGGATTAATTCACTAGCAATTCCTAGTAAGGCAATTTTTAATAACTCAAACTACCACATTCTCATTTATAAGTTTATGACTGACAATCTTTGTTTAGTATTAAAGTTAAAAATAATGAGTTTTTTAACGAACTAATAAATATTTAGGAGGATTAACTTCTCAATATGCTTATTTGTTTGACAAAAATGAAACATAAAAATAACGATAAAAACATCGCTGTCATATTTTTAGGTTTATGGCAGTAAACAATAACTTCATGTTCTGTTTAGTGTATACCAATAAAAATACAGGTATTCTGTTTAAATAATTTCTCGTCACACGAAGTTTCTGGTGAATGTTTAATCAGCCCAAAATTCCAAAGTGACATATAACAAAAGTTCTGTTATACATTTATATAAACACTTATCTTAACCTAGGAATTCAGCTAAGTATATATAAATTGATGTCTACTTTGTATAATAAACATCACTTATATTTATCAACCTAAGAGAGCCTGTTGTAATACGTTCTACTAATTTTCATCAAATGTGCACTAAAGCTTCCAAAAAGACTGAGCTAAGTAATACGAGGAAGATTTAGTAAAACATAATCACAGAATTTAACAAGAAAAACATAAACTTTGAACTTCATATATTTAAAATTGAATACATGACTAGTTCGTTCATTTTGAAAATAAAGAGTTGTTTTCTTTACTTCCAATCGATGTGAATCTTAACAAAACCGCCATCTATTATTACGATGAGTGGAAATGGCTGACGCAATGATGAGGAAAGTAAGTTTCTGTATGGAAGTAATTAAATCTATACAGATAAAACAGTTTGTGTATCTTTTTACAAGAGCTCTTACCAAACAAAACTAACTCAACCTTGTCTATTTAAACTGAAACTAGTTTAATACAGAATATGTCCAGAAATCTCACTGACTTAGTTCTAAAACCAATAACAAAAACAATTGTTTCATTATTTTGTACACGTTCTGAATGACAGAAAATTAAGCATGCTGAAACACCACTTGAAACTTTTCTACAGGTATTGGAATTAGTTCAGAAAATATATTTGACAAGACAAATGTCTTAATATCGACACAAAAAATAACATTCATCAGTTGGTGTTATGGGAAACCTGCCTGGTGAGTTTGTTCTGAGATTGTATTTCGAAACATTTCACCGAAAGGTAGAAAAAAAAAACACAAGACAGGTTACCCATAACAACTTCTAACAGTTCTTTCCTGATAATGCATATACACCTGACCAGGTACAATACAGTCTTACATGTACAAACTAGTCTATACTTTTTTATAGTATAAGCATGTATATATATTTATATATATAAATTAAAGTGCCTTTTTCAGTTTATTTTTGCAAGCTCTTATGATAAAGAAAATACCATGTTTATAAAATTTTCTATTTCAACAATATTTTAACAGTTTTCCACGCTCACCAAGAAGATTAAAAGTTAATTTTTAATATAAAACATTCGTTTAATTTGTATGATCTTTCTAACAAGGTCGTTAACCAATCGTTCACGTTTTTTGATAACACTAGTAACCACTTCGAAATAAGTGTACCATATCCGGATCTAAACATGGCTAAGGTTATTATGAAATAGGCTATAAAGAAAGTAAATGTGATACTAACTACTCTGGGACAAACAGGTTTTTGCTACTATGTACTCTCTACGATATGAATTATACTTAGGTTTACATTTCAATAGATTGGCTAACAATTTTTATGTACTATTAAGAGATTAGCACATCAATAACGCCACTTCTAATCATCACATTGATAACATTTCAGAAAGTATGAAGCTAGAATAGAAAAGTTAAAAAATATACACCAAATATGTGCCAAGTATTTAGAATAATCTGCAGAGCAAGATAATTTGTAACTGTACAAATATAATTATGTACAGAAGAACAATTTTAATTTATTTACATTTTATGAACATTTAAAATATTTTTAATATGTGATGGGAAGCAAGCCCAGCATATGTAAATATTTTAATGAGTATAACTGTACATAGTTAATAAAAGTTTTATTATTTCAAGCCGATAAATATATGTACTCTTTAATCGAGAGTTAGATCTATATCAAATAACAACGTCTATTTGATGAATGTGTGAACTTTCATTAACATAGATTTACTGCTTTAAACTTTCAGAACCACCTCGCATATAAACACAATTTCGAAAATGCGCAGCCACCTATGATCTTTAGAAGAACTAAAGAAATCTGAATGCAAATTATTTACTTGTGAAGGAATTAATTTTAGTTATACGATGTGACATTTTATTTTCTGATTGATTTTAGGAGCTCTTCTAATTTAATGATATAAAAAATGGTTGATATAAATTCTTCAAATATCAATAACATTGACCAGTTTTACTATAAACCTTCCTAGGTCAAGCGTTTTATCATGAGGTCTAAACTTAAGTCAGTTACTTACCAGCAACATAAATTTGTTTTCTTGAAGCCTACTAAGAACTTTTATTCACAAAATGAAAAGCTAAAGTGACAAAAAAGTTGTTTATGATTTACTGATAAGCAATTTTCTTCACAGCAGAAGATGTGAGGTTATTGGCTATGTACGCTGAATAACACACAAGTGTTAATTTTAAAAAGTTCATCAAAGGATGTTGTATTAATAGTTTCGAGCTCTCAATGTTTTCAAAATACATTATAATATGCACTAAATAAAATCCAATATTACCTACTTAAGTTGCACATGAAAATTAACAAGTAATGTCATTGGTTTTTATTTGCAATGTTCTTCCCTTTTAGAATATACAATTTTTCTAATGTTAACTACGTGTATAATTAAATCGAAAGTTCTTGAGTAACTGAAGTATAAATTTCTGAAGCAAAATTACCAAGCATAGTGACAGGGAAAAAATGTATGAAATTCCATTATAGATAGTGAACTTTGAAATACCAGGAGTTTTCATTGTATTGCTTAAAGTAATCCTAGTGGAAGGAACTTAACTTTACAATAAATATTTGCATACGTTATCTCTGTTACACGGTATGATATTTAACTGATAACCGTGTAAGTAAAAGAAAAAAAAAGCTGTATCTAAGTTTTTATTTCAAACATTCGAGAATATTGAAATTCAAAGTACAGTTGCTGTTTTTAATTCCTCGATTCACAAAATAACCGAACTGAGTAAAACACAACTTGTGTAACCTTATTTTACAGTTTTTATACACGTATCACACAAACTTACAACGCTTCAGTGTTTACGTCCTTCCCTTATCATCCTAAGTTATAAATCCACATCTTTCTTGTAATTAGGGAAACAATTCTGAAACCTGCAACACCTCTGTGTTTACACCCTACCTGTAAGCCAAATAAACTCCTGTTCACCATTCTAAACTGCAAACTCATGCACCCATTTATTGACTATAAACAATGCTGTAAACCTGCAACACCTCTGTTTTTACACCCTACCTGTAAGCCAAATAAACTCCTGTTTACCATTCTCAGCCAAATAAACTCCTGTTTACCATTCTAAACTGCAAACTCATGCACCCATTTATTGATTATAAACAATGCTGTAAACCTGCAACACCTCTGTGTTTACACCCTACCTGTAAGCCAAATAAACTCCTGTTTACCATTCTAAACTGCAAACTCATGCACCCATTTATTGATTATAAACAATGCTGTAAACCTGTAACACCCTATTGCTTACCTTCAACTGTATAAGACCATTTTCCAAACTGTAAATAAATATTTTTCTTGTAATTATAATCGGTTATGTGAATCTACAGTACCTCAGTGTTTACAGCCTATTGACTTTCAGTGTGTACGTTCCAAGCTATAACCCTACACTTTGGTAATAATAATACATAATTCTGTCGACCTGAGGAACTCTGCCGTATTCTTTAAGCCCACTGATTTTCTGTTTAATAGCAAACTGAAAATCATTTCTAATGTTTATAAACTATTCTGTTAACTTACAAAACTTTGACTTTCTGTGTGTATATTTCAAACTGTAAAACCCCACACCTTTCACATGAACAATTCTGTATACATTAACATATTTAACGCTAATAGGAACTTATTACTAGAACTAACTAATACAATACATAAAATAACGACTTCTCTAACACCCGAATTTGTCGTTTATTGCTCAATATTTCTCTCTATCATTTCCTCAGGAACGATTTATAGCCTATAAGTACACTAAGAATATTTGGTTTATTTGTTTGTGATCAAGCACATAGCTTCGGGTATCGAAACCCAGTTTCTAGCGTTGTAAGTCAGAAGACATGCCGCTGTGCTACTTGGGGGGGGGGGGGTAAGGATGTTTGGAGCAAACCAGAAGATATGTGTAATGATAAGTTTCTGACGAAGCCGTAAGGTGAAATATAGAGCATATTAATATTAAATATTAATAAAACTAGAATACAGTTACTGGCTGATCTAACACAGTCCTTTGTGTCCTAAAGGTATGCATCTTACTAGCAGTATAATCTAATATTGTTGAATTTATTTCTAAATAATCTTTAAAGATTAAAGAAATTTGTTGTCATAGAAACACTCAAAATTAATATATATATATATATATATATAAGATGAACTAAAATTATTTATTAGTAACGGTTAGTTTAGTAGTAATTAAAGTTTATTAATTATAGTAAAAAGTTGGTTACAAATGTACTAAGTTCCATCAAGAAT